GGTGTGTCTTCCCTCCTCCGCCTGACTCTTCGCAGTTACTGATTAAGTGTCAAAGGCGAACTCGTCTGAAATCTGTTTTATGCCTTACCTCCCCAACAAGCTACTCTCACTGTCTACGCCCCTCCGCCCCCAGATCGCTTAGTGAGAGGAATAAAAGGAAGTTGGGGCAAGATTCTGCGTCTATTTGGCCATTCGGTGTCGACGTAACCGGTGGCTTCGACCAAGCCGCAGGGTAGCCGTCGTGTAGGCAGAAGAGCCATTCTCCCACGGTGACTGACTGCACGCCCATCTGAACACGGCGTCCTTTGTGAAAACGGACGACTCGACTTCCACAAAGGCTGCGACAACTTGTTGGGCTGCTCTACATTTGGTTCAAGGACAGCTGACCCCTTCATTCTCATGAACGCCGGAGATGTGTTTGTCATATGGAATGAGAGACGAGCGTCCTGTCAATCAACGTCCACGGTATTATTTAATTGATGGAATGATGTGTGGTCTGTGATGCACGATCTATCTTGCAAGGCCTGTAAATCATGGAGGCAAATTGCCAATGGCCCTGTCCCAGGCTTGCTCCCAAACGAAGACTCTTTGCTGTCACATCGGCAGAATGGACGTAGTGGTCTCTGCTGTAGAACCAGAAATACCTAGATGGCAGCACGATCTGCTCCGTATCTCTACCACCTCCGCCCAAATGCATGGAAAGCAATCAAGGATTTGTGGAGCAGCCGACATGCGCGTTTTGCTGCAACTGCAATCGATTAGTTTCGAACAAGATGAGGGCGCGGAGACAATAGCACAGACGGGCAACATGTACGTTTTATCTTTCCTCCGGCTTCATCCCTCTCTCCGTCAGATTATGAGAAACTGAAGGCCGAAATCCTAAGTGTCCTCGAAGCTAGGATTCAAGGATAGGCGAGGACGAAACACTGTGCAACTCTGCCATTTGCCGAACCTTTTATAGACATGACGCCATCTTGTTACAACAGAATTCCTACGCCGATTCCTACAATGGTAACGGTGAGTGGAAAGGGCTCGGAAGATGATGAAGGAAGAGTAAATGCTTACAATGGAGCTGTTAGAGGCATCCTCGTCAACGTCCGCGAACATACGCACTGATAGATGTCAGTGTGATTGTTCGTGAAGGGAAGATTGGGCACGCACTCTGATCCGACAAGTCACCGTTCCGCCAGGATGCCTCACAAGCCGCCCGCATCTCTGACATCAGCATATTATTGAAATCGATCGCAGCAGCATGGCGCTGGCCTGGAGACAAGTGGGGGACACCGTCATTATCGTTGTCGGGGTCATCGAGGTCGTGGGTGATTCCAGTGTTCATCTTGTTGGCCAGTGAGAGCTGGCTGAACGCCTTCAGATCCTCCTCAGTGTGCTGGCCAATGAAGGTTTTCTGCGAGGCTTCCTGGGAGCTGGTGTGGGCGGTGTTTTGAGAAGACATGGTGTGGGGATGGTGGTGGTAGTGGACGGAGTTGGGGTTGGTTCACAGATGGCGCGTTGTCAGGCGAGATAGACACGTGATCTCTCTGATCACATGATTACAGCACTGCTTCTCCCTCCTCCCTATCATTTGATGACTCCTCTGTCGCCTCCCTTCCTTCGCATTATCTCCGTTTCCGACGTTCTCCACTCTCCTATTCGGCCCTTCCGCCATCGAAGGGTGAGAGAATAGCTAAGAGCCACCTGTGGAGGCTCATGCGACACAGATCTTCGAGAATGACTTGCATTTTGCGTTTCTCGGCGAGTATCCAGTGAATCGCACATAGGGAGGGGGGCATGGAGGAGCGAATGGAGAACGTGATAGGCGAGGGAACAGGATGGACTGTGTGGGTCGGGTGTGTCTGCTTTTATGCTGTTCTCAAGGCTCTACTTACAACTAGTCGCCGCTCCCAGGGGGTTAGGCTAACAATTCTATTCCGCTCGTTCTATCGACTCTCTTGTCCCTGAACTGCCTGTCGTACCCGTCACCACCCTAAAGGCCGGACGAATCTTCATTCGTCCTCTAGCAATCGACGAGGACGGCCCGCCCAAGCAGACAGGTTACGACGATCCTACATTTACGTTCTCGCCTTGGTTCATCGTAGAAATCGTGCAGACTGTTACCGTCTGTCCGGGGGTACATCTCGAACATCAGCCCCTGCTAGGCGGCATATACTGCACACCGTTCAATCGCTCCCCTTCCCATTCGATAGCATCCACGCTGTCTACATCCAGTGTTATCGATACGATACGCCTTTGGATGAAATAGGCGTCTATTGCAATCAGCGTGAGAGAAATACAAATGTACCACAAACAGTGCCGTTTGTCGTTAGATAATTGAGGATTGTCAGTTCTATGCATTTACCTCCATCCTGTTGGCAACTTGGCCGTGGTATGGTCCTGGGGCTGTTTTACATGATTGGACGCACAGTGTACGAACCATAGCAAGGCGAGATTGAAGCAGTCAAGCAGGCATGTCTCGACGAGGCTCAGTGGTTCTGAACATCAGCGGAAAAGCAGCGGGGAATAATTGGGTAGTCACGTAATAGAGATTGTAGCTCACTAATGCGAGCTCCCCAGACGGAGAGTACATGGGTGAGGTACTGGTAGTGATGAGCGAGCAGAAACATGATGATGATGGTAAGTATTTGGTGGCAAATGCATAAGACGAAGTCAGCTCCTCGAAAGACGCCTGTTTCTTTTCGAATATGCCTGCGGAACAGTCAGATCTCGGGCTCTCAAACTCCAGTGAACACCCAACTCACAGAATGCGGGATCTCACTTATTCCAGAGTGCGCGAAGC